CCAACACATAAGCAACCCAAAGCCACACTTGTGCAATGCAAAGGTAAAATCCCATAACCCTGCCAAATGCTAAGTATCACATTTAGGTCACCAACAACATACATATCTTACCATAGTCATAGTCAACATACATAAGAGTGAAGACATTCATATTCCATAACATTCATATATACCCTTTTTCTTACATAGTTCATAAGTCATCATAATATCATACCATAAGAGAACCTAGCCACAACCCCTCATAGAGTTTACTTGGCAATGTATAAGTGAAGTCCCATACCCCCACTCACACCAAGTAGTACCCCTTAAGAAGTCCTAGTTAGAGTCCATGTCCTTACCATAGCTCATATTCATATTATTTGGGGAAGACTTGCAATAACCGACATAGACCATGTGAGCTACATGGAATCCGGTGTTCTACCCCCACACCGAAAAGAGGTGTTCTACTTGCCTAAGGTAGAACTAACATAATAGCTTCTAAGTGGATCCACTAGCTAAGACCTATGTGGGCACATAGTTATGGGACAAAGAAATTGCTACTAGAAACCCGGACTTGCTAAACGTAGAAGGTTTCCATCTCATGAGATATCATACATTGGGAAGCCGGACTTGATAAACGTAAAAGCCCCCATCCACTACTAAAAAAACAGTAAATACCGACCTAAAAATTACCTTGGAGGTCGGTATTCTTAAAAAAAATAAAAAACCTTTAGAAAACCGAATAAAGCGGGAAAACAAAATTCCGACCTCTGGAGGTCGGAATTTTTCCCGGGAAAAATGAATTACAATAAAAAACCGACCTCTTGATGTCGGTATTAAATAAATAACAATATTTTATTTTTTCTCACTAAATGTAAAAAACAAAATTGAGAAATATTTTGATTTAATTTTATTTAAATCGTCTTCCGGAGGACGGTTTTGTGTAAAATAAAAAACAAAAAGTATTATAATACCGACTTTCGGAAGTCGATAAAATTAAATAGTATGTAATTAAATTAATTTTCATTAAAATATTTATATAGTGACTTCCATAAAATTAATAAATTAATATTTTCAATTAACTTTAAATAAAT